TGCCCCGGCATTTCTAGCGAAGTGTTTCCGGGGACGGCGGGAGCACAGGAGGAACAAGGGCCGCCGTGGAGCCACCGTGTGGGCGAGCTGCGCCTGCCCTGCCAGTTACCTCTCTCGCTTCTCTGCCTGTGTCAGCCGCACCCTTCGAATTGGAGGGTAGCCAACCAGTCGTGGAGTAACGGAGGCCAAGTGCACTGTGCTCTGGATTCTGAAGGCCCCGGGGAGAGCTGGGCCTGGGCCTGGGCCTGGGCCTGCTGTGGGCCGGCGACTCGTTCTCCCACGTGCATTGACCCCACCTGTCTTCCTGCAGATGATGCCAGCCCCTGCCCAGGTGTTAAGGAGTGGTTCGTGTACCCCGGGAACCCACTGCGGCACCCCGACCTCGTCAGGCCTCTGCAGATGACAGTCCCAGGTACACACGGCCCTGATGTGAATGGACCTGGAGTGTGTGATGTGCGTCCAGGATTGGGCCAGGGCTGTGTGGATCTGTTACGTAGCCCTGGGCCCAGGAGGGGGAGAGGACGCAGCAGTCTCTCCTGGTCCGTCTCTGTGGGGCTCCACCTTCGCCCATGGTAACACAGGTGGGGGAGGCACGGAGCTATGGTCAGATCCCCCTTCTGCCTTGTCCCTGGCCTGGCCCCCACTAGCCATTCCACGAACCCCACTGAAATAACAAGATTGGGTTTTTTTTTTTTTCTTTTTTTTTTTTTTTGGAGAGGTTTTCGCTATAGGGCGCGTGCGCTCGCCAGACAGACAGAGAGAGACATAGAGACAGAAAGCGAGAAATCACCCCCCAGGGGGGATGGTCACGCCGCAATCCCTTCTCCTCCATTCTCCTCTCGGGATCCTGGGCACGCACACACACGCGCCCGGCGTGAGTTTTAAGCCACCGGGTCCAGGACGTGAACCGCGGTCGACTACGTGGGAGTCCAGCAACATAGCCATTACGCTAACTGCTGGTTCCCAAGATTGGGTTTTTAATGTTCTACCTAATCAACTCCTGTCTCTTTTTTTAAATGAAATATTTATTTATTATTTAATTCTGCTTGTTATTATTTTTTAATTTGACCAGAGAGGGACAGAAAGGGAAAATGAAAAAGCATGCCGGCAAATCTGGGACTCAACTGCAGTCGGCCATGTGCGAATCCAGCCCTTTAACCATCATGCCACCTGCTGGCCCCCGGCTCCTGTCTTTCTACTACCCAAAGTATGCTCTGCTGAGTCCTGGATCCAGAGCGGGTGTGCAAGAGAATTGTTTCAGCCGGACCGCCAGTTCCCATTTATTACTCACAGGGAGGGAGGAAGGACAGGTTCATCCCAGAGGTCACTGACGGGGTCCAGAGAGCAGCCTCTCTTCTGAGTTCTCTGGATCCGATATGTCAGCTGAGAGGTCGTGCTCCCACCAGCCAGCTAGAGGGGAGTCTCTGGCATGGGTTCCCATTTATTTTGAGTGGCCCGCATCATTGTTTCAAAGAACAAATGTTTTTCTAAAACTTTAATACTCCATTTTCATATGTCTTACATCCTCTGGTATCACTGTTACTTCTCATCTCGAGCCTGTAACTTACCAGGTATGGATCTGAGCACTGCGTAGGTGTTTGTAAGTGGAATCATATTGGAAGAGGAGTTGAGGAAAGTTAGAGGGAATATCTCTATTCTATTAAGCAGCAATAGACTCAAATCTGAAAAAGTAGTTATCACAAAAACAAAACATAGCAGTACTTATTTTTATAGCCAGAAGTATTTTTAATGGATAGCTAATTTTTCAAAAACCTTTTGTCAAACTTGTAATTCTTTTTTTGTTTGTTTGTTTGTTTTAAGAGGTTTTTGCTATAGGACACATGCGCTTGCCAGAAAGACAGAGAGATAGAAAGCGAGAAATCATCTCCCCCCAGGGAGGATAGCCACGCCATGATCCCTTCTCCTCCATTCTCCTCTCGGGATCTTGGGCGTGCACGCATACGCACCTGGTGTGTTTTAAGCCACCGGGTCCAGTACTCCAACCACGGTCGACTACATGGGAGTCCAGCGACATAGCCATCACGCTGACTGCTAGTCTCCATAATTCTTACCTTATGATGTCTTTCCAAAAATAAGATGGTAAAGGATTTCTCACTGTTTGATGGGAGGGGCGTTAATACTCGTCCTGGTATTGGGTTGGAGTCGTGTGCTTTGTGTCTAGCTCGGACTAAGCTGCGGGCGTAGCCACATCACACTGCAGATACAACTGCTTCCTACACCAGATCTCCACATAGCAAATACACGTGTGCTCCTGGCTGGAAGCACACACGTGAACACCTGTTGTAGTTGTTAGGCAGGTGACTTGACTTTCTCCGTTTATACTGGCTGTCAGAGAAACCATGCCTGGTTTTCTTTGCAGAAATGCATCATAACTATTCAGACAACCCAGTACTTAATATTAATGATGATAAAATAAAAGACAGGATTTAAACATTTAAATACCTTCTACTATCCGTGGGGAAGGTCGCCCAGTGGTTTATTTTATTCTGAGAACTCATTTATGTGCCTCCGTTTCCGTTCATGTAGGTAGGGCGTAGATACATAAGGGAACGTCCTTATTTGAGACACCTGAGGGAGCTCATTGGCCACGTCTCACTGGCAGTTTGTCCCTGCAGTAAACTCTTCAGGTGTCGCCCACAGTGAGAGTAGTCTATTGGCACGTGAGGAGGCTTGCAGAATACCGTGGAGCACTGCTTCACAGATGGAACGAGGTGGGTCATTCACCTCTTGAAGAAAAGGAGCTACAGTGACTGGGGCCGCTCCTGTCAGCGACGGAAATGAGGTTTTCATGTCGGGCTCCTCTTAACCTATGAGGGGTATTCAGAAAATTTGTAGTATTATGAAAATACCATGCAGGGATTGCAAAATATATTGCACTGAAATAAAGTTATGCTTAAGTTCTGTTTTTCTGGAACTTTGTGAAGTCCCATTATACGCGGTTGAAGGTTTTCATCTTAACAGTCAATGACTGCAGATTCAGAAAGTCGCACCAGGTCATAGAGGTTTCTGGGAGTGGGAGAAGGCGGCTGCGACAGTGTGTGTGTCTGTGTGCGTGCGTGCACTTGGCAGGAAGCACCGCCACTGTGGCCAGCAGTCTAAGCTGCCTGCCTGCACCGTTGTAGATCACGATAGGTTGAAATTCCCATAATGTTTTTTTCTCTTGTTTATAAAAGTAGGGTGGAACTTTGTGAGATAAACATGTTATGAACTTACATTAGGCACAAGACAAGGGTTGGGTTTCGCATACAGTAGCTTTACAGCCACATTCACTTTTGAATGCGTCAGGTCAAAGTAAGGTGACTGTGTCGCTTTGTGAGCACGGGATCGATGGCTTACTGTCCACCCGAGTACAGAGCTGGGTTCGTGGGGACAGGATGTGTTTTGTCCCACTCCTCTCTGGATGTACTTTTTCACATGTTATACATGGCTGCTGACATGCACCCAGCCAGAGGACAGACAGACTGCATGTGAGCAGTCAGGGCTAGCTTTGTCGTCCTGGGCCAAGGATGCATGGGCAGCAGGATGCTGATGCCCATCCCTCCAGACTCACCCGAGGAGCTGGCCCTTCGCATGTCCACGGGAGATGGACAGTCAATGCAGGTTCATTTTGGGCCCCACCTCTTAGGTGTGGACACAAACTAGACAGTTCCATGTCTTTTTTTTTTTTTTTTTTTTTACTATAGGAATATTCAGGGAAAATAACCTTAAGAGAACTGAAAAACTTTAGTTTGAGGGAACCAGCAGTTAGTGTAATGGCTATGTTGCTGGACTCCTACGTAGTCAACCGTGGTTCACGTCCCGGACCCGGTGGCTTAGCTGGGCGCGTGTGCGTGCGTGCCCAAGATCCTGAGAGGAGAATGGAGGAGAAGGGATTGCGGCATGACCATCCCCCCTGGGGGGTGATTTCTCGCTTTCTGTCTCTATGTCTGTCTGGCGAGCACATGTGCCCTATAGCAAAAACCTCTCAAAAAAAAAAAAAAACAACTTTCATTTGAAACACTTTTTCTATATAGAAGGGACATAACAGTGCATCTAGAATGTCTTTACCACTCACTGGTGTGTAGCGGTAGAAAGGCAAGTGAGAAGTTCACCCACAGCCTCCCCTAGGCTTGGTACCTCACAGGACAGCCCAGAGGTCAGCCGCGGGCATCTCCCTCGCCGTACTCGGCCCTCTGTGGCGAGGGCCCTCCTGAAAAGCCCCTGTGCCATCCTGCCCATTATTCACACAGGGACTTCTGCTGAATTAGAAAACTGGGTTCACGTGATCCTGGTGGGGAGCTGGGGCTCCGGCTTGCAGGGTTCAGTCTCTGCATTACTGCTAGAAATATCTCAGCTGTTCCTGGGCTCTGGGTGGACGCAGTGCCCCTTGGTTTTGATGAGCAGAGTCTCCTCATGACCTGAGGGTAGGTGGTGTCCATGTTCTCCTCCACACTAGACAGTTGGAGCACCTCCGAACCAATGTGCTTCCCAGTTCTGATCAAAATGTGTTTCTTTTAAACTAAAATTACTAACTGAGGGTTTCCCTTATCTGAGCATTGTAGGTTATCATACTAGAGCAAACTGTTTAGAGGGAGTTTACAGCTAGAAGAGGACTAATCTAAATGACCCTTTACAAAGACTCACCCCTCCCCTAGCTAAGGCGGTGACTAGAGGGCCAGCCCCATAACCTAGTTAAGGGAGTCGGGTCCTACGTGTCCAGCAGGTTCAAATCCCAGGCCTGGTGGCTTGAAACACGTGCGTGCGCTTGCGCCCAAGATCCCAGCAGGACAGAGGCGTGGAGAAGGGAATGTGGTGTGACCACACCCCATCAGGGTCCTCGCTCCTCCCCCTCTCTGCCCACCCCCCTCTCTGTCCACCCCATCAGGGTCCTCGCCCACCCCCCTCTCTGTCCACCCATCAGGGTCCTCGCTCCTCCCCCTCTCTGCCCACCCCCCTCTCTGTCCACCCCATCAGGGTCCTCGCTCCTCCCCCTCTCTGTCCACCCATCAGGGTCCTCGCTCCTCCCCCCTCTCTGTCTCTGTCTCCATCTCTGTCTCTGGCAGGTGCACATGGCCAGCATGTTCTCTCAGGGAGAAAACGGTGACTGAACATGCTAGCGGAGAAGCACCTCTGTGTAGAGAGGGGGCGCTGGTGCTGTGCGTGTAGGACTAGAAGCAGCCTGTAACCGAGCCTTGTGGAGTGTCCCCAGAGGACTCGAGTGTCCTGGGACTACTCAGAGCGCTGCAGAGGCTGCCCAGAGCCTGCCCGCCAGAGAGGCAGACTCTTGTTCTGGAGGGCGTACGGACTCTCATCCTAGTCCCTGTACAGCACTCAGCAAACCAGCCTTGGCCAAACTGTCGATTGAATTTAGGATTAGAGTCCTCTGGCGTTGTGAGGGCATAGTTTTTCACTCTGGTGGTGAAATTTCTGTAATCTGTTGAATCTTTAGGCCACCTCAAAAACTAATTGTTTTATTATTTGGTAAATTGATGTGCTTTTGTCTGTAAATAATTTCTTAGCCTTTTTGTTGAAGTATCTTGAAAGGTATTTAAGCTTTGTCTGCATCAGAATCACTTCTCGGGCATATTAAAACAGACTTCTGCACCCCATCCCTAGAATTCCCAATGGAGTCCCTCTGGGTAGGGCCCAAGAGTTTATGCTTTTAAGCTTCCAGGTGATACTAAGGTTGTTTGTCCAATGAGAGCTATGAAGGAGAGGAAGGTCCATACCTTGTTGACCAGCTCTTTCGTTCGCCTGCATGTCGTATGTCCGAGGGCCAAAGGTGAGAACCAGAGCCTCAGTGGCTCATGTGCACTGACACCAAGGTCAGGTTCTCTGTAGTTCCTAAGGAGCACTGCATCCCCGGACACCGATGGGAATAGTGCAGTTTTCTATGCAGTAAGCCACTGCAGTCTGCAGGGCCTGCCCCTGAGCCCTCTTCCCCAGCACACCTCTTGTCGATGGTCTCGAGCTGTCCAGGCTCTGCTTGCCACTTCCCACCCACACCTTCTGTCACCTTCCCACTGCAGCAAGATGCTCTCCTGAGGGCAGTGGCATGCCTGTGGCTGTGTCCTTCAGGGCCTTCTCACTGCTCTGAGGGTAAAAACCTTTGTAGATGTTTCCTTTCTCAGACTTCCCCTTCCCCCTTCACCTTAGCAAATCCTCATTCTTTCCTCAAATCTCCGCTGAGTCCTCTTGCATGGCACCCCTCCCCGCAATCGCTGTGCTATGGCACCCAGGGCCTTCTGAGTATGGTTGTTTGGCTGGTTCCTGTGTGCCCCCAGGTGGGGACCTTCCTCCCCAGTGGTACCTGGTATGTGGGTCACCCCGTGGTGCGGGTAGCTGGCCAGGATGAGGGAAGCAGGAGGGCATAATGCCCCCACCAAACTCCCTACAGGCTCACAAAGAGGCCACCCCAGCAGTGTCCAGCCCATCTCCAGCAAAGCCTCTGCTCCCCTTGGCCCGGTTGTCCTGCTCTGCCCTCCAGCATGCCTCTGCTCACCCTTTGCGCTGAGGAGTCACGGTCTGCCTCATCTCTGTAAGGCCTCCTGAGTAGCACTGCCCCCCGACGGGCCACTCAGGTGCCAGCAGAGCAACTGGAGTTGTCGCAGCTCATGTGTCCAGGGTGACGTGTCAGTGCTCAGCCATCACAGTGATGTAGCCAGGCAGGGCAGGAGACTCTCAACTGTCTGCTGGGTCTGCCTCTCTCCTCGGCCTTTCTTTAGATGGGTACTTGGAAATCCTTTGCTGGGGGAACTGAGCTCAAGGCAGGGGTTGACCCTGGAGGGCAGGAGTGAGCAGGTCACCAAATGCTTATTCAGAAAGCATGTCATTGAGCACTCCTGTGACACTCGATTCTAGACATATTTCATAGTTTGCATTTTTCTTGTATTACACTGTTATGCTTAAGTATGTTTAAAATAACTGTGGCCCTGCAAGATCATCACTTACCTTAGACCAGAGACTGGCAGAGTTCCTGTGAAGGACCAGAGGGTGGAATTCCAGGTCTCATGGTCCATACTCAGCTCTGTCCCTAGTGTGGATGGAGCCCGGGCCTTAAGAAGACAAATGAGTGTGGCCATGTTCCAGTAAAGCTGTTTATGGGCACATACTGGTGCTCCAGAGCATTCTTCCGTGCTGGGATATGGAACGTGCCTCCTGATTTTCTGTCCGTTTACAGACGTGAAGACTGTGCTCAGTACGTGGGCAGTACGGGAGGAGCGGTGAGCCAGGTGGTTACTCCCCTGGAAATGTTTCCAGGAGGTAACCACTGACATCGTGATTATCCTGGCTAATATTTCTATCACTAGAAGCTAGTGCCATAGAGTTGGGTTTTGTTTTCGTCAGTTATCTTTAGCATTTTATTTCACTCAAGAGAAAAATTATTTTTTCTCTCCAAGGTAGCTGCTGAGAAAGCTTGTCTGGTAGAGGGGACACTTTGGCCACTTCCCTTCCGATGGAGTGTGCTGAGGGCTGCAGGGGGGAGGGAGGCGGTCTCCTCTGTTGGGCCATTTCCTTCCGACACCATTTAGCTAGTGGGTTGTGTTTCTTTAGTTTAGACCTTGGCAGCCTCGTGTTGGGGCCTCTCCTTACATGCCTACGAGCCCATGAGGAAAGCATAGCCTCTGGCAGTCGTGGAGACAGGCTGCCAGCCCCAGGCAAGTGTCCAGGCCAAGAGCCAGCACCCTCCTGCCGCTAGCAGAGCAGACCTGGAGCTGCTGTGCCCCGCAGCTGTGCGTGCTTCACTCAGACTCGCCAGCAGTAAACGGGGAAGGGATTCCCTTTTCTGATTTTAGTCATTTAAATGTATGTGAAAAGTATAGACATCGCCCCTAAATGGTAGTTTCAGGAATTTCCGTTTTAATAGTTTTTCCGCAGCTGATCTTTTGCACATGGAAGTCTGAAAATCACCCATCTAGTGCCCGGCCCGACTGCTGCCCCAGCAAGGATGCTCCTCTCCGGTGTGAGACGCACACTGAGGGGACTCGGGCTTCACTGCAGAGTGCGGCACAGGCAGGAGAGGAAGCCCCAGTGTCCTTGGAACTCGGTTAGGAAGGAGGAGGCTTCTGTGAAATACAGATGCATGATATATGCTGGCAGTTGAGGTTTTACTTATTTTTTAAACCAGGAAGCTCTGTTCATATTTACCTTTCTAGTTCTTTTAAAGCTTTAAAGTCTCAAGTTCACAAGGAAGGGAAGAACTTTATTTTGTGGTATCTCTAAAAGCAGCAGCAACTTAGAACTGCAAAGAATCGTGGTGAATGGGCTTTCTCTCCAACTAGGGGGAACACCTAGTTTGAAAGTCCTGTGGCTGAGCCAGGAGCCAGGAGTGGAGGCGCGCCGACTGGACACGCTCCTGGCCTGCTTCAACCTCTCTTCCTCGCGGGAAGAGCTGCAGGCCGTCGAGAGCCCACTCCGAGCCCTGTGCTGCCTGCTCATCTACCTCTTTGTGCAGGTAACAACCAGCTGCTCACTCGAGCCTCCGCCATCTGCCTGTGACCCCGGGCCTTGCTGTCCGTGGGATGTGGAGCCTGGGAACTGCCATGGCTGTTCCCCGAGTCGTCTTTTTCCACCTGTTCCATGGGACACTGTTTGTCCCTAATCCCCGCATGCCCTGTCCCCTTAGATCACAGTGCAGGCACAGTAATTGGGGCTTTGGGGATCTCGCAGCTGGGGGTCTGTTCTAGTTTGGTGTCCCTGCCACCCTGTGTCATCTGGGTAACGGGGGCAGAGTCAGGGTTGGGCCTGGCTGGGCCCGGTCTCTCCCTTGGAGCTTGGCGTCTGGACAGATGACTTACCGACCACGCCTTCTTGTCCCCTCACCCACACGTGCCTTTGCCTTCGGAGAACAGCCCCGAGCCAGCCTGCTGCAGAGCCCCTCGTCCTGTCGTCACATGGGCTGAAAGCAGACGTGTGGTGCATGCCCACCTGTCACCAAGTTGTCACGTGCTGTCCTCCAGCCAGATGGCCACGGAGTGGTGGCCAGGCTCTGGGTCTCAGTGTCAGTCACCACTGGCACAGTTCCATCTTACACTCATTCTATATGTGAAAGCGTAAAGGCCAGTCAAGAAGTTGGCCTTTGAATAGTTTTCTACACTCTTGATCCTGTTTGGCCCCTTCATGAGACAAGGGCTGTGTTAGAATGCCTCCCTTGCCCAGCTCCGTTATTTTAAGATGGCTTTTGTCTCACCATTGAGGAGGTGTTGTTCCCTGTCCCTCTGAGATGTCACTGCGGGTTCTCCTGACCCCTCTGCACCATCTCCTTGGTCTGACCGCTCTCCCTGCACGTGGCATCTTCTTCGGTGCAATTTGTACGTTCTCATTTGCCTGGGATAGAAAGCTATGCAATCCAGATTTTTTTAAACTGAATTTACTTTACAAATTAGCGATTGTTTTTTAAAAAACTCACTCTTACAGAGAATTCCACCCCAGGGAACCTCGAGGGCCTTTCTCTGCTCGGTGCCCTCGGCACTCCCTGTACAATGATGAGTTTTGTATTTTGCATTTTGTAAGAACATGCAATTGTTACTGATGGGTTTGTTTCCCTGTTTTTCCCCAGCCCTTTCCTTGCCACGAAGGCACCCCTCCCTGGAGAGCAGTCCTGCACTCTAATGGTGTCGGGAGCTTGCAGCTCCTTCTCTGGGCAGCAGACGGTGGCTGCAGGAGGAAAGCCCAGCGGTGCAAGGCTGAGGGTGGCAGGCCCAGCCTGCCGCTGCCGCCGCCCAGCTGTCTGTCCTCTCTGCCTTTGGTTCTTCTCACTCCATAAATACTTGAGACCCAGCTGTTCCCGCCCACATCTCGCTCTCTCCCTGCTCTCGCTTGCGTGCTCTCCTCAGACCTTTGCTTCCACGTGGTTGGAGGGAACTTGTGTCGAGGACCAACTCTCAGTAGACCACAGTGAGGGAGCTGCTCTACCACGTGTGAAACCCCGACCCAGATGCAGGTCATCCAGGGATGGTGTAGCACCAGGTGCCCATGCACGTGTGTTCCATGATGGGCGAGGGAGCAGCCCCCTTTCTGGCCACATGCTGGCTCCCAGAACGAAGGGCTCTCCACACCGGACCCTGGTCCCGTTGCGCAGTGGGGCACTCCGCAGGACTGGAGGGAACTTGTGTTGTGGGATCATGATTTACTGTGAGTTGGGATCCAAGGCACAACTTCCTCAGAGTTGTTGAAGGTGGCTGTTCACCGCAGCCCTGATGACCCCACTTAGCCTCACAAGGTGCTGTCTGCCCCGAATTCTCGGAGTCGTCTGCTTCAAGCAGTCTGAAATGAAAAGTGAGTGCCTGTGACGCTCGAAGGTGCTGCCCTCCTTGGTGCTTTGTGATGACTCTCAGATGTTCTGTAACTTTCTATCTTTTTTTTTTCTTTTTTCTTTTATCTTTTTTTTTCTCTTTTCTTTTTTTGGAGAGGTTTTTGCTATAGGGCCCGTGCACTCTCCAGACAGAGACAGAGAGATAGAAAGCGAGAAATCACCCCCAGGGGGATGGCCACGCTGTAATCCCTTCTCCTCCATTCTCCTCTCGGGATCTTGGGCACGCACGCACATGCGCCCGGCGTGAGTTTAAGCCATCGGGTCTGGGACTTGAACCACGGTTGACCATGTGGGAGTCCAGCAACATAGCCATTGCCATTACGCTAACTGCTGGCCCCCAGAACTTTCTATCTTGATAAAGAGTACTTTACTATATGTGCGGGTTCCTCAAACTCCCAACCCCAGCCTTCCTGTCGGTGGCAAGTGCAGCCAAGAACTTCGTGCAGAGAGCTCTTTCCAGCCAGGGGTATGACGGTGAGCTCAGCGGGGTGCTTTCCCTCCCCATGAGTCCTCTGCCGTCCAGGGCCCGACGCACCTTGGGACATGCATGAACATGCACTGTGTCCACCTCCTGTACTGGCTGAGGCAGTCTACAGGGCATGCTGCACTGCCCTGGCCTAATGCTGGACCCTGTCTTTCAGGTGGACACCCTCTGCCTGGAGGATCTGCACGCGTTCCTCGCGCAGGCCTTGTGTCTCCAAGGAAGGTCCACTGTGCAGCTTGTGAACCTACAGGTACAGACGCGGCCGGTCGCTGTCAGCTGAGGACGGCCATGCAGTGGCCAAAGGGTCGGCGTTCTTTCCAGCTTTGTCCCCTCATAGTTGGGGTCTCACAGGAGGAATCAGGAAGGCATACTCGGACACGAGCTTGTCGTGGTGTGGGGCTCTTGCACAGCCCATGTGAGCGGCTGAGACAGGTGCTGACAAGTGCCCCCTCGACTGCAGGGGAGAGAGACGTGCGATCTCAGTATGGCCTGGTAGTCGAATAATTCAAGAGAATACTCTCTTCGTTTCTTTATAGACCCTAACCTCAGGACAGTGTGCCGCCTTTCTGGAGCCATCAGTCTAGCCCACACACATCTTGGATGGCCTGTGATCCTGGGCCCTTCCCAGACACCTGGAGGGCAGGGCCACTCCCACTACCTGCACCCTCCCCTGCCAGGGCTCATCAAAGACAGTTTGCAGGAAGCAGAGGGCAGTGCCTCCTCAGGGAGGTCCACCCTTCTTAGTCACATGGTGCCATTCAAGAGTGTTTTCCCTTCAACTCGCAGAGTGGCCCCAGTCACAGCTCAACTCTGACTCTTCTCTTCAGCTATGCTTTTTAGGTGTTACTGGTATTTATTTCCTGTTGGAAGATCCCAGGGTCAGAGGGGTTGTTGATGTAATTTTAAGACTTTGCTTTAAAAACACCTATTTTATTTTATTTTTTTCAGAGGTTTTCGCTATAGGGCGCATGCACTCGCCAGACAGACAGAGAGAGACATAGAGACAGAAAGCGAGAAATCACCCCCCAGGGGGGATGGTCACGCCGCAGTCCCTTCTCCACTCTCCTCTCGGGATCTTGGGCACGCACACACACGCGCCCGGAGTGAGTTCCAAGCCACCGGGTCCAGGACGCGAACCGCGGTCAACCACATGGGAATCCAGCGACATAGCCATTACGCTAACTGCTGGTTCCCTAGAAACATCATTTGATAACAATAGTTTTATTTATAGCTTTCATTTAATGGAATTAATTTTTACTTGTCTGTCTAATGAAGAAATAAATTTCACTTATAAATGCCCTTTTACTCTAACTTCAAAACTCTTACATACTAGGTCTGACTCATAAACAGATTATCTTAGCAGTCTAATTAAATGAACAATGTCAGGGTTTTTTCTTTTGTGTTAGAAACTTATATCCATTCTCAAAACAACTGGGGTTTTTGTTTCTGATTATCTAACTTGCTGGAGGGTGCATGTGCTCATGGGGGAGGGTAGGGGAGTGGGAAAGCGCCCTATGAATGGCCGCACTGCCTCCCGTCTCCGTTCCTCCTTTCAGAATTCCGTGCACACACGCTATTCCGTGGGCCCAGCTATTTCTCAAGCTGCTTGGTGGCGGCTCGACTGCACATTGGGCCCTGCAGGATCCAGCTGCCTTCACCACCACACCACCAGTGGGCCAAAACAGAGTTTGGTTTTGGGTTTGGTTTTTAGGGACCAGCCGTTGGTGTAATGGCTATGTCGCTGGACTCCCACGTAGTCGACCGTGGTTCGAGTCCCGGTCCCAGTGGCTTAAACTCAAGCCGGGCGCGTGTGTGTGTGTGCCAAAGATCCCGAGGGGAGAATGGAGGAGAATGGATTGCGGCATGGCCATCCCCCCCGGGGGGGGGTGATTTCTCGCTTTATGTCTCTCTGTCTCTCTCTGTCTTTCTGGCGAGCGCATGCGCCCTATAGCAAAAACCTCTCCAAAAAAAATTTTTTTTTAAATTGATTTTCGGGGCTAGCAGGTGGCATAGTTAAGGCTCTGGACTCCCACATGACTGACTACAGTTTGAGATCTGGACCTTAAAAATTATGCCAGGTACATGTGCATGCATGTCCGGAGTCCCAGCAGGAGAATGGAGAAGGGATTGTGGCATTGCCATCCTCCCAGAGGGTGGGTGATTTCTCACTTTCTCTCTTACCTTCTCTTTCTGGCAAGCACATGCTCCCTAATGGCAAAAACTTAAAAAAAAAAAAAAAGAAAAATAGATTTCTGAGTCATCAGTAGGTGAGTGCTGTAAGTCTTAATACTAAGCAGTAGCACCCACCTTGGGACCTTCTCTCTAGGCACCAGTGGCACCTACCAGGTGGCAGGCTGCCAAGCTGCCCACACTGCAGCCTGGGACCCTCAGCTGTGCCCCCTCCCCTTTCACTAGAACTGGACGCACGGACAGCCTCTGCGTCCTCACTCCTCACCAGCCCTGAGCAGTGGGCCGCAGGTGAGAGCTGGCTCTGGGTCTCTCACTTCCAGCTATCTGGTCTTGAACCAGTTCTCATGAACACAGTAACTGAACCTTCCTGAGCCTTTTCCTCTCATTTGTAAAATGAAGATGCCAAAATTAAATACAGCAAAACGTGTCATGTTCTTTGTAGCTGTTGGGTGCGTGGGGCCCTCACCTCCCACCCTGGCTCGCCCACGCTGAGTCACCTGCTGTCTTCCCTCATGAGCAGAGGGGGCACACAGGGCTGCCACCGTGGACACGAGGCGTGGCAGGCTGGGTCCTCCTGGTGGGCCAGCGCCTTCCTGAGTGCAGGTCACGCGTTTGTTCGTGTCCATGACTGCCAGCTGAGCCTTCAGCCTGTGTTTCTAGAGGACTTCCTGTTTATTGTGCTTGCTTAATGCTGCTTAGCATGTGTGTGTGCGTGTGCGTGCTCACGCACACGGCACATGGTTGCTTTAAGCCATAGACTGAGTTAGATAGGAAATGTGTAACTGTGAAAATGGCTGTTTCTGCTTTAAATGGCCCTAAGGGAGAGGAGGGAGCCCCATGCCAGACCACTGAAGGTCTGCCTGGACACGGGGGTGACCACTCTCCAGGACCCTCTCTGGGTTATGTCATGAGACGTGCTCCTGTGGGCACTCCCGTTACGATTCAGCTTTTTCACGGTGGTTTCCACTGTGGTGTGGGGAGCCTGCCCTGGAGTCGAGATTCCTCCTGTGCTCAGTAGCCTTCCAGGGAGCATGCCATATGCTTTCTTGGCATGTAAAGGAGGAGAAAAGTCTGCCTCGCTCACTCCAGCATTTTGTTAGAGTCCGATCTGCAGCGAGCATGCTTTGTGATGTACTCTGTGATGCCAGCTACGTGGCTGTCATGCCAGCACTGGACTAGCACGTGTCTTCATGTGGGCTGAGGCTGGCGTCTGCACTCAGCCGCTCTCAGGGGTCTCTCCGCTCCTGTGCCACGGAGACCCTAAACTGGGGAAAAGCCAGAGAGAGCCCTTCAGCTTTCGTGCCCGTGAGTTTTCTTTCTTTTTTTTTTTTTTAATTTCTAATTGCCATTTAATAATTATGTGAGAGGTCTTCAGAAAGTTTATGCAATGTGCGTATTAGTTTAAAACTGTATGGATTTCAATGTTTTTGCACCAAAACAAACTCGTGTGAAAGGGCAAGTTATGGGGCAGAATTCCAGCCAGGCCACGTTCAAGTGACACATGTGAGTAGCTGTATTTCCTTCCTGGGTGTCCCTACATCCTAGGGCCCATGGCTGTTGGAGCCCATGCCGATGTCACGGCAGCTCCCGCGGGAGCTGAGCTCAGGGTTCTCTGGGAGGCCCTGTCTGCCCAGACCCCAAGAGCCATTTCTTCCCTGAGCCTGTGCTGTGTCTGGGAGCAGGACGCTGCAGTGTGGGGGCCCTTTCTCCTGGGTGGGGCAGTGCCTGCGTAGACCTGCTTCAGGAGCTTCCTCCAGTCTGGGGGGTCTTCACGTGGCAGTAACTGAAGCCTCTCCCTTCTGAAAAAAAGTGCTCTTGTCACGCCAGGGAGCTGTCCTTACTGAACTCATCGGGAATTGCATAGATCTTAGAATGAAAGTCTCCCCTCAAGACATGGGCAGGAAAGCTCAGCTGGAGAACAACGGCACACCCGCCAGCCGTAGGAGAGCACGAGCCGGTGCACCCTCCTGCTCCACGAGGACGTGCCGGCTGGTCTCGGAGTGGACAGCTTAGACTCAGGAGCTGAGAGAGGAGGGCACGGGCTGGCGAAGTAGCTGCTGCTGCCACTTCATAAAGGCACGTGGGTGCCAACGGCATCAGGCATGGGCGAGGGAGGGATGGGGTCAGACCTCAAGCTCAGCATACAAGAAATTCAGCTTTTCTTTCTGTTTTCCTTGTGTTGAACGAAATTCGTATATTACATGCATGGGACATTGGGGTTTATGTATATGATATATTTGATCTACAAACACGCATCATGTATGAGAAAATAAGCATGGTGTTAATTGGTTCTCGGATTACTCAGTGAATTATCTCCTCCATTCATGATGGAGCGTGTGAGAGCAGCAGGGAGAGGTGCCTTCGCCAAGTCTGGCCATGCCCCTTCGTCCAGTCCTCCCTCTTGATCTCAGCATTTACATGTGTGCCAGCGTGTTTCAGCTGACCGGTCTGGGGGGTCCAGCATGTAACCATATGCGAACTGGGCCTCTCGAGCACCTGACACGACAGGGCTAGCCCTGTGCAGTTATTTGATTTTTTTTAAGAGAGAGTTTTTTTTGTTTTTTTCGTTTTGTTTGTTTTTTGCTATAGGGTGAGTGTGCTCGCCAGAGAGACAGAGACAGAAAGTGAGAAATCACCCCTCGGGGTGGATGGCCACGCTGCAGTCCCTTCTCTGTTCTCCTCTCAAGATCTTGGCACACATGCACATGCACCCAGCATGAGTTTGAGCCACTGGGTCCAGGACTCTTAGCTGTGGTCAACTACATGGGCCTCCAGCGATGTGACTGTTATGCCATCCGCACGTCCCAAGAATCATTCAGTTTTTTGACTTAATCATGATCTATTTCAGCCGTCTCTGTGTCGCACTGATTTTGGGCGACTTATTCCAGAGACTTTTTTTGAGAGATTTTTGCTATAGGGTACATGCACTCGACAGAGAGAGACAGAAGCGAGAAATCACCCCTGAGGGGGGATGGCCACACTGCGATCCCTTCTTCTCCTTTCTCCTCCCAGGATCTTGACCATGCACTTTACACTCGCGGTGTGAGTTTTAAACTGCCAGGTCCAGGACTCAAACCACAGTCGACCATGTGGGAGTCCAGCAATGTAACCATTATGTCACCCACTGGTCCCCTGTTCAGTTATCTCTAAATTAGAGTTTGTCCTACTAACATGAACGAAAGAATATGAAGGTTTTTATTAGGAGTGATAGCTTACTTTTTATCCAGACTTAAACTGTATGTATTTCTTCTGTTTTGTAAAAGGATAATTCATGAGCTCTTTGTAATTTATTGCTTATGCTCACTATTAACTGCTTAATTAATTGTTTTAAAAAGGAGTGGTGTTTCTTTCTCCTGAGTTTGTCACGGGTGCTAAGAAGGCCTCAGCTCAGGCACTGCTGCTGCAGGTCTCCCTACCTTGCTGTGTTAAAGAGCGGCTAACCCTGACAGGAGGCACCCACTAAAGCAGTTGGAATGTTTTCAATTATTCCAATACGATGGTGATGTTGGAGGGGACTTAAATTAAGCTTTGCTTAGCAGTATCTTTTTTTTTTTTTTTTTTTTGGAGAGATTTTCACTGTAGGGCGCGTGCGCTCGCCAGACAGACAGAGAGAGACATAGAGACAGAAAGCGCGAAATCACCCCCCAGGGGGGATGGTCACGCCGCAATCCCTTCTCCTCCATTCTCCTCTCGGGATCTTGGGCACGCACGCACACGCGCCCGGCGTGAGTTTTAAGCCACCGGGTCCGGGACACGAACCGCGGTCGACTACGTGGGAGTCCAGCGACATAGCCATTACGCTAACTGCTGGTTCCCCTTAGCAGTATCTTTTTTAAAGATGAGTTTATTTTTAATTTATTGTATACATTCTATCACTGTACCTCACTTGGCCTGTAAGGTGAGTTTACCCAACACAAATACACCTCATGCAGCCCAGCTGAGGATACTGCGCACATTATCAAGAGACTACAGTCCATTTCTGTATCCCATAAATGTCTCACTTCTCTATTTATCTCCTTAATTTCTTCCATCACACTCTCCACCTTATCCCACCCTCTTCCCTTATTGTCTCCAGTATCTATAACAATTTTCCATGCTTCTATACCCTCTGTCTTTCAGTTTCTGCCATAGAGTGCAGACAGTTGTTATATATTAAGTGGGGACATACAGTGTCTCTCTCATAGCCTGACTTGCTTCACTCAGCTGTCAATCTTCCATATTCGTCCTCTTTACCAAATGTCAGGATCTTGTTTGTTTGTTTGTTTGTTTGTTTGTTTTTTTAATGGCTGAGTAGTATCCCATAGAGTATATGCCACACTTTTTCGATCCATTCATCTGTTTGTGGACATTTGGGTTGTTAAATGTCTTAGCAATCATGGCTAATGCCACAGTAAACATGGATGTGCAAGTGCTTCTTCTTTTTTTTTTTTTCTTTTTTTTTTTTTTTTGGGGGGGGAGGTTTTTGCTGTAGGTCGTGTGCACTCGCCAGACAGACAGAGACAGACAGAGAGACAGAAAGTGAGAAATCACCCCCGGGGGGGGATGGCCACGCTGCAATCCCTTCTCCTCCATTCTCCTCTTGGGATCTTGGGCAAGCATGCACACGTGCCTGGGAAAATCTAAAAAAAGAAATTTAAAATGACACAGAAAAGTGGAAGGACATCCCACATTCCTGAATTGGAAGAATTAATATAATCAAAATAATAATTCTACCCAAATTAATCTACATATCTAATGCAATCTCAATAAAATTACCAGAGACATTCTTCACAGATTTAGAAAAAACAATCATAGAATTTGTCTGGGACAATAAAAAACCTCTGTATTACCAAAGCAATCCTGTGCAAGGAGAGTGGAGTAGGAGGCATCTCACTCCCTGGCCCCAAACTATATCACAAAGCTGTGATAATCAAAACAGCATGGTATTGCCATAGAAACAGCCAGGTGGACCAATGGAACAGAATAGAGACTCCAGAAATAAACCTCAAAACATACCTCCAACCAATTTTTGACAAAGGATACTAGTCAATCCAGTGGGGAAAGGAAAACCTCTTTGGCAGTATCTTATATAAAGTAACGATTGTAACTCAGAACAGCATTATGTTTAATTTTCTCCCCCATTTCCTTATTGATCGATATAAGTTTGTGTAGACAGAGATGCACGTGGAGACACGGGTGGAGCAGCTGGAGACATCGATAAGAGAAGCAGGTGGAGTCGACCCTCTCCAGGCCGCCGTGCTGTGCCACCTGGGACTGGAGAGCCAGGTGCCCTCACTGTTATGGCGTTAGCCCGGCCAGGCAGGGACCCAGTCTAGCCAGTAAGACACGAGGGGAGGTAACAGCACTGGGGAAAGACCTTGTTTCCTTAGTGAACTTAGAGAGCTCGGACTGCTTCCCCTTCTCCCCTTGAAGATGGAGACAGCATTGACAGCACACAGCCTCCTGTACACGGGGTGGCACGCGCACAGAATGCACAGACTAGCAGGGCTGGGTCTTGGGTGGCCCTGAGCTCTGAGCTCTGAGCTAACCTGCAGTTGTTACCCTTGGTGTTTATTCTCGTAAGTGAACAGTGAATACTCTCCTGGTTACGCCCTGCTGGGTACAGCGCCGCCCGTCTGACAGCACAGCCCCAGACACACTGCACATCCACGCTTGGTTCTCCTCCGTCTCCCTCTGGTAGCCAGCACACTGATGGTGGGAGGGCATGGTAGAAAAGTCAGGTCAGGGTTGTTAGAGGATACACCAGAAGCTGAATTTTCAGAAAGAAGCAGGAGGGACCAGTGGGTGGTGTGGTAGTTAAGGCGCTGGGCACTCCCACATGGCTGACCATGGTTTGAGTCTTGGACCTGGCGGCTTGCCTTCTCACTTTCCCTCTCCCTCCCTCTCTGTGTGTCTCTCTCTGTCCAAAATAAAATAAATGAAATAAATAAATAATTTTTAAAAAAAAGAAAGAAAAAGAAGAAGCAGGAGTCTTAAAGACAGAAGAAGTGGAGGTGGGACAGAGGAGCGTGACTGGCTCAGTGCCCAGTGGGTGGCAGGAGGGGCGTGGCTCACTCAGCGTCCAGTGGGTGGCCAGCCACTGGGTGGAGGTGGGTGGGTGCATATGTGGGATCACCCGAGACCCACTGCAGAGTCCTGCTCTTCACCAGCTCCCCTCCGGCACTCAGGAAAATGTGCTGAGGAGGAAAGTGGAGGTAGAAGCTATCACCTGAACTGAAAGCCTCAGAGCCACAGGCTGTGATCTTTCGCTTCTCCTGTCGTGGTGTAGACTGCTCCAGGGAACAGGCATGCCAGTGAAGAGGCTCCTGCGGTCGCCCAGGCGGGGACAGTGAGGGCTGGAGCTAAACGGTGCTTGTTTCTGGCCTGACCCCTGAGGGGGGACTGAGGCGGAGACACGGCAGGAATTCCAGTGAGTCCATTTCGTAGCAGTGGGTGTGTGGATGTCGGCTGGCTCCTGAGTGTAAGGGGTTGGGGGTGACTGTGGACACCTGGAGTTGCCAGACCTGGTGACAGTGGCCCTCCGGGAAGGTCACCTGGTGCCGTCTGTGTCCTGTAGCAGTGTGCCCAGGGCAGGGGAGGGCCATAGTGTGGACCCTGAGCCCCGGGTAGCAGTGTGCCCATGGCAGGGGAGGGCCGTAGTGTGGACCCTCCAGAAGCAAACCAGGCCCATTGAACAGAAGAAAATGGCCATTTGCTTATTCTACACAGTGATGCATTGTATGGCATTCTCCTAGTCTCGCTCCCACCCTTAGGCAGGCATCTGGCAAGGTGCTGCTGAGATGAGCCAGTATCTGCCAACAGCCTGAGCCTTCCCTAGCTGGCAACACCAGCAGGTGAGCTGTTCACTGCTAAGTAGTTACTGAGGTGCAGGCACAGGGAGAGCTGGTTTTTCCACTTTCCCTGTTCCCTGCAAGTGCCTGGAGACCCTGGTTCTATGTCGTGGGCAGGAAGAGCCTGTTTTCCAGAGCACCACAGGTCCACACCCTGCCGTGCAGACTGCTCTTATTTGTCGACTGTGCGTATTGAACTGGACTAGCCAAGGCCATACCTTTTAGCACCGTGGACAAGCTTGGGCTGACAGTGGCTCAGCCTCAGGGCGTACCATGTAGCGGTCAAAGTCCTGTCATCCGTGTGGCCCATAGTGAGGTGTGTGTGTGTCTGGTGAGTAATTTGGGGTTGGTCTCAGTTACTCTCCTTCTCAGGACCCCCGTTTGCAGCAGTTTGAGATAAGACATGCCGAGGAGGAGCAATAAATTTTACCTTCTCAACCTTCTTTTATGATTTAAAAATAGAAGCACAAAGCTAATGTGCCTGAGAAATACTTTGGGAAATAAACATTTTGTAGCCATGACACTCCAGAAATACTGTCTCTGTCTCCTGGAGCCCAGGGTACTGCGTGGATGTGCCGACTGTGGCCAGATGTGACCGAGTGAGTCAGAGGCCCCTGCACCAGCACTGCCCGACAGACGTGCTAGCTCTCCCTCAGTGCATACAGATCTTTTCCCTCATTCGTATTTGGAGTAGGGACAAAAGAAAGCATTACTTAGAACCTGAATTAATGTCTGTAAACATGTCTTGGAGTACGAGTTCAGCCGAAGTGTGAGTTCCAGTCCTCTGCTGGAACTTTATGCCTTCTGAAGACCGCTGAGCCTGGGAGCACCCCCAGGCCTGCATTAGTTTGGATTTGGTCATGTTTGATTCTTTGGGTCAGGAAGAGAGTGAGGCAGGCTAGTTGTGAACCGTGAGCCTGGAGGGAATCAGACTCTGGGAGTTCAGGCAGAACTGAAGTGGCCTCTGCCATGACACCCAGAAATACTGTCTCTGCCTCCCTTGGTAAACTCGTGGCTCCTGCGTTCGTCAGTATCCGCAAGAGCAGACTGGACCTCTGAAAGGTGAGAGTCACTTAATGAGTAAGGGGCAGAAGTGAGGAAGGCTGGGGAGCATTTCATAGCAGGCAGCCAGGAAACTTGTGGGCTACTCAGGAGCCTCACGCAGTGGCCCTGGCCTGCGGGGCAAAGGGACATGGAGCCCTGAGTGGAAGCAGGCAGTGGATTGGGAAAGGGGAGGCAGACAGACTGACCAGTAGAGGGAGTGGGAGTCTCTGGCGGAGAGGCCATGGCCCTGCACCGTTTCAGGGTTACTCTCATGCAGACATGGGAGTGGAGAGACCAGGTCGAGGCTGCGGAGCATCTCATGTCTCGGAGTTCTAGACCCGTCTCCCCGGCCTTCTCTGGCTGACACTCAACTCCCCGCAGTTTACACGGCCCTGCAGAGTAGCGCAGTGTGTCTGTTAGGGCTTTCGCATGCCTTGCAGCATCAGCACAAAGACCATCTCTACTTAAAAGATCACTAGTGCCAGCCCTGGCCACTCCCCACAGTTTACGTCTTTTTTGGGGGATGGTTTTTGCTATAAGGTGCATGCACTCGCCAGAGAGACAGAAGGCAAGAAATCTCCCCCCCAGGGGGGATGGTCATGCCACGTTCCCTTCTCCATTCTCCTCTCGGGATCTTGGGCACACATGCACACACTCCCAGTGTGAGTTTGAGCCACGGGGGCCAGGACTTGAACAGCGGCCGGCCAAGTGGGAGTCCAGCAACACAGCCATTACACCAACTGCTGGTCCCTGGCCACTCCCTACAGTTTAAGAGTAGTGTAGGCCTCACAGAGGGGCTTAGACTATCCTGGGGCCAGGTGCTGAGGAAAAGCTCTGGGCAGAAGAGTGACCAGGCCCTCTAGGGGCTGCATGTGAGGGTGTGTGTCAGCCAGAGGGTGTACAGGTGGGGCTCAGTGAGGACGTTGGCCCCGGCCTGTGGGGGAATGGTAGGGTGCCCAGGTCCTCAGGCTCAGCAGCTCCTGCCCTCTAGTCAGGTCTGCCATGAGTGACGAGCACAGCGAGGGTGTGATGGTGAGCGTGGTTGGGTCTACGGGCCCGAGGGCTAGGGAAGCACAAGATGCGCACTGTGCAGTTGGCTGCAGGAGCCCTTGCAGTACTGGTCTCACAGTGCTCGAGTCCTCATGACACACACGCCCACTGTGCACATTAAATGCCTGAGGCATTCGCCAGCTACAGCTTTGTCATTGCATGACAGCATTGCATGCACGTACACAAACCCTGCTAACCAACCGTGTGACCCTGAGACCACTGCGTGTGCAGCCTGCATCCACCGAGCTGTCACGGGCGAGCCTATGCAGCCACCGTGCATTGCTTCACCCAGCACTCACCCTAGACTCCGGGCACACAGGTTCTGATTTTGCTTTTGGGAAACTGGTAGAATTTTTTTAAAATACATTTTTTTTTTTTCGAGAGGTTTTTGCTATAGGGCACGTGCGCTCGCCAGACAGACAGAGAGAGACAGAAAGCGAGAAATCACCCCCCAGGGGGGATGGCCACGCCTCAGTCCCTTCTCCTCCATTCTCTTCTTTGGATCTTGGGCACGAACGCACATGTTCCCGGAGTGAGTTTAAGCCACCGGGTCCAGGATTCGAACTGCAGTCAACTACTTGGGAGTCCAGCGACATAGCCATTATGCTAACTGCTGGTCCCGTAAAATACTTTTGATAAGCAGTTAGCCAAACCTGCAGATGTAGAACTCCAGATACAGGTGGCCTGGCCTGCAATATTTATCAATGGAGAAGAACAAGGTTCATTAAAAGATTTCAGAATAGTGATAAGGGCAGGAACCTGATCAGGAGAGCGCGTGGACTGAGGAGAGGGACATCGTTGTAGATAACGTGGACATTGGGGGTAAGGGAGTATCGTAGCCCATACACTAAAAAGCTTCGTTAATATGAACATGTTCCGTGAACAGTGCAACCTAATAAGACTAAATTATGAAGAAAAGAAAACCGAAATGATTCTGTCTACTGAAGGCATCAAATCTGAGATGAAGACTTTCCCACCAGGAACTCCAGACCAAAGGGCCCCCCTGGTGGGTCCCCAGAGGGAACAGCGCCCACTCATGTCAGCTCCTCTGGGGACAGCAGACAAGGAGGCTTTCCAGCTTGTCTTATAATCGCAGCCAAACCTTAACACCAACATACAGACAGCACGAGAAATGAAAATTTTAGGCCATTTTGCTCATGAAAATACATTTAAAGCTTCAAACAAAACTTAGAAATACATACATTCATCAGTATATAAAATTGTAATACATCATGACCAAATTGAGTATATTTCTGGAGTCTAGGATTGGTTTAACACTCGAAAACCTTTGTAATTCTCAGTTAATAGTGAATGAAGAAAGGCACGTGACCATCTGAATGGGTGCTGGAAACACGTTTGATTAAACGCAGCAGCTCATGGTAGAACCCGTAACAAACGAGGACTGAAAGGGAGCCTCCTTAATCTGATTTTTACCATTGCAGGAATCCATGGCAAAGTCCTGCCTATTGGTAAGACGTGGAATGTTTTCTTCTGTAGCAGGAAAAGAGTCAAGGTAGCCTCTCAGCATTTCTGTTTAATAGCTGGCGGGGTAAGTCAGCGGAGAGAATATACAAAGTGTAGGGTCTAGAATGAGACTACGGGATTGGCAGATGGCATGATCATATCTACCGAAATCCAAAAGAATCTACAAAGCAATCATTAGAATTAACAAGCCCGTTTAACAGTTTGCTACATGCAAAAGTGAACATGTAATAACAAAATTATTCTATAAAACAACATGTTAAAAAAAAGTTCTTTTAAGTTTATACTAGCATCAAAGAAAAAACAAATACTTAGGGAAAAAATCAAAAGTTGTACAGAATCTACACTGACAACCACAGGACTTTACTGAAAGAAGTTAAAGGAGACCTCCATAAACCAATGCGCAGCGTGCAGGTGAGAGTGGGTGTCCAGGATGTGGGTTACGCCAGTGTTAACCTGTCTGTCCCAGTCAGCATCCCAGTAACATGTGACAGGGATAGGTGTGAAGGCAGCGAGACCATAACAGCGTCAACCACAAGGAGCCAGGGACAGAGGTGCATGTCCTGTCAGGCATGCTGAACTCAGAAGCATGCCGGAAGAAGGTAGTTAGTGCTGGCCTGTGGGCAGCAGAGGCGGGGCCTGTGGACTGTTGGAGGGTTGCTTTTGATTTAGGCGTTGTCCATGCTGTTAGTCTGTGAAGATGTAGGTGCTCCGAGAGGACGGTATGCTTTGCTTAGTCTTTTCTTCAGAACAGATAGGTGCAGGAAGGACAAACGTGAGAAATCCTTTCCATTACAGAAACATCTACCAAATCAGACACGCTCAGAGGCACCATGCTCCAAGCATGTTGGCGCCACTTCCACCCGTTCTTTGGACGCTCACTGTGAGCCACCCTCACAGGTGCAGGTGGGGCTGGGCCCCAGGGAGCCCACAGCACCAGGCTGTAAGCGGGCTCTGAGCGACTGGTGTCCTCACGAGTGGAGACCAGAGACAGGCTGAGCCTGTGCAGTTGAGTGGGGTGCGCTAGAGGTTGCCAAGAGGGGAGTCCCCGAGGTAGAGAAGACAGGGTCTTAGGCTGAGTTATTCAGGGCACTCTCCAAAGAGGGCGTGTTCTGCCGTGTGCTGACCAGTATAATGGCCACGGAGCCAGACATGGCACCGAGTTGTTCCAGCACAAGGCTAGAACATCTGAACATGGAGTCGTTGTTTATTGCTTTTGTTGCCAGAGTGTTTGTACCAGCCAGAGAGAGAACCCCTAGTGGAGCATGGCCACAGCACTTCACCCTGTCAGCATTTTGAGCACGCACACATGCTCACCCAGCATGTTTGTTTGTTTTCAGGATGCTGATCGGAACCACAGTCTTCAGTGTGGGGCTCAGCTTCCTGTGCACAGTTTAACTGTGGCTCTACGAGGCCAGCGTGAATGTCCTGTGTGGCTCCTGGCCGCCGCGTTGACCGGTGCAGCTCTAGGCAGACAGATGTGCTCAGGAGTACGCGGTGCGAAGGCACGATGCACTTGGACAGCAGCGAGAGGGTAGCCGGGCACCCAGCGGCAAGCAGAAGGCCCCCTGGAGGTCTCTGTGGAAACTGGCTTTTCATGACCGTGCCCTCTCGGCAGGGCCAGCTCAGACCCGTGTGCTTGCTGTGGTTCTTCTTCTTAAAGGTCGGCTGTGTGGGATCCAGCCACCTGAGCCATCAGGTCCCAGAGCTGGCCCTCTTCCATTTAATAAACTGTCAGGTATGAGGGCATTCAGAGTCGTCCTTGGTTAATGTGAGTGACACAGATAAACCAGACCACACAGCCTGTGGCACTCACCTCGCTGGCAGCGCCCCTGGCATCCCTCCTGCCTGCAGCTCACTCTGGCCATGTGGGGCCAGCACAAGCCAGGCACTATGGCAGCCAGGAGAGCCCAGGGCAGCTTCTCTGTCAGCACAGTGGGGACGCTGGTTGTTGGCTCTCCTTAATATCTGTATGGCTGTTTTTGCTTTTTGTTTTTCTGCTAGAGGGCACATACACTCACCAGAGAGAGACAGATAGGATCCTGAGAAGGAAAGTGAGGAGGAAGCAGCCCATGGGGTGTGGCCACACTGCAGGCCCTGCTCCGTCTCTCCTCCTGCTGTGGTTTTGGGCATGCACGTGCACTCATTATGTATTTTTTTCTTGTTTTGAGAGGTTTTTGCTATAGGACGCGTACGCTCGCCAGAAAGACAGAGAGAGACATAGAGACAGAAAGTGAGAAATCACCCCCCAGGGGGTGTGGCCATGTCACAATCCCTTCTCCATTCTCCTCTTAGGATCTTGGGCACACACGCACACGTGCCCAGTGTGAGTTTAAGCCCCCGGGTTTGAGACTCGAACCACGGTCAACTACATGGGAGTCCAGCAACATAGCCATTATGCTAACTGCTGGTCCCCCCATCATGTATTTCAGGCCTCTGGGTCCTGGACTTGAACTGCACAGTCAGCCACATGGGGTCTAGCCACCTTAGTCACCATGCCACCAGCTGGTCCATTATTTGGAAAAGTTATCAGAGATATGAGATATGTAAGCCATTTTATTCTTAAATGATAATTCATTTTAAGTGAGATTTTTTTTAAATTATTATTTAATTTTATTTATTCATTCATTTATTTTAATTTGACCAGAGAGAGAGAGAGAAAAAGGCAGAAAGGAAGCCGCCAGGTCCGGGACTCGAACCGTGGTCGGCCATGTGGGAGTGTCCAGCACCTTAACCACATCGCCACCTGCTGGTCCCTTAAGTGAGATTTTAATGAACTGATCATCCTAATTACAATAACTGAGTGTTTTAAAAGCGCAGTGACCTCAGTGTCCACAATAATACTCTCTGGCTTCTCTTCCTGATGCCTCTAAAGAAAATTTTTAGGGAAGAGCAGACCCAGAGTGAGTGATGTCATGAGCATTCCTCGCAGACTCCATGTAGACACAGATGTGGGACCAATGGTCCCTGGGAGGCAGCAGACACTGGCTCACTGCTGTCTAGGGCAGGCCCACATGTGTCTGCCACGCACCTGCACGCACAGACGGGTAGGCGGGCAAGGGAGCTAGTCCCACGCCCGGTGCAGATGCTCTCGCTCCACTCGGCCCGGCCTCTGCCCAGGGCCTGTGGCGAGCGCTCCGATCTTGTGCAGCTGGCATGCCACGACCAGTGTCTGTCCACTGAGCAGACGACGGGCAAGCAGGGCGCAGCGCAGAGGGGGCCCGCGGTGGCAGCCTCCTGTGAGTCTGACCTGTCCTGTGCTCTCTGTCTGGTCCTCAGCTCGAATACATCGACTCCCGGGCTGTGCAGCTGGGCTCACTCTTCGTCCGCGGCCTCACCACCCTGGTCTTGGTTAACAGCGCGTGTGGCTCCCCCTGGAAGATGAGTGATTTCATGCCGTGGAATGTCTTTGATGGGAAGCTCTTCCATCAGAAGTACCTGCAATCTGAGAAAGGGTGCTCTGTGGAGGTCCTTGTAGAACAGAACGTGAGTCCCTGCTTCCCTGTGCGTTCAGAGATGGTGGATGGGGCTGACGCCGGGCCACCATAGGTGGCAACAGCAATCTGACCTGAGGTCAGGAAGCTGAGTAGTACCAACGGCTGCAGTTGCTCTCTAGGAAAGCGGGTGTCCTGTGGTCCCCAGGGTTGAAATGTGCACAGACAACACTGAGACCACTGTTATGTTTTCAACCTGTTGCTCTCCTAATAGAGGGTTGCCTTGTTTCTTTCATAAACTAGAAACATGAATGGAACATTGGCCTCGGCGTGAGCATATCTGATAGCTTCTGCCAAGTAGGTTTGAGACCCCTGACTCCTGAGGAGGCGAGCAGCCGCCCCTGGTCCAATACACTTGCATTTCAAGAGCTCCGCCCTCACCCCTTGTCAGTGGAGAGCGTGCTCCTGCAGACTGCCTGCACACAGGACACAGCCTGAGGGGAGCACTCCCAAGAGCTGTCAGTGTAGCTGGGGAAATTGGCTGCAATTCCTGCTTTATAAGTGCGATTGCTACGGGATTCCTGGAAGATTTCCAAGGCACTCTCGAGCCAATCTCATTTGGACCGTGTGAATGCCCGCAGGGCTGAGAGAGGCGGGCATTCATTCACACAGTCCAGTTCGCATGCGCGCACACACGAGAGCTTGCAGGTCTTCTAGACAGGGCTCTCCAGGCTTCGCTCCACAGGGAAGCCATGTGGGACATGATGCCATCACTGCTTCTCACCAAAAATAAAGTTTCTGGGTGTCATAGGACTTTTAAGGATTCAAAAGTTAGAAGTAGCCTAGACCATACAGAAGTGAAAGGAGAATGTGAGAAGCAAGATCCCTCAGGTTTGACGTGACATCAGACAGACTGTCCTCAAAGGTCTAAGCGCTGGAGCCACTGCATGAGATAAAAGCGGTGCTCGGGACCCTGGTCTGCAGGTGGCCACCTGGGCCTCCTTTCTGTAGTTAAGCTTTTGACCAAGTGTAGCGTGATCATAAAATCACACCCTGGTTAAAACAAGCAAACATAGGGTAGCATATTTAGTAGTGAATCGGGAGTCAGAAGCAGTGGTCCACTCTGCGGTCTGCTACTGTCTCATGAACTCAGCATTTCCACTGAAAGTTCTGGCCACTAAGAGCTGAAATAATAAGCTCCATTAAACAGGTTTTGTATGTGGACTACGTGGTAATCTTGTAAATTATGACAGGCGCACAACTGAGTGTTCTTTTTTAGACATGAACACCTAATCCACAGAGGACAAAAGACAGGGCTCAGGAAAGCATTTGTTCTTTAAGACTCTTGGGAGGGGTCACGACAGTCGAGGAGACCGTGCAGCTGTCCTGGTAGTGCCAGCGGCCAGCCACGTTGTACCTTGGGGACAGCTTCCGTGAGGGTTGTCCTGCACACAGCCCTCCCGGTGTGATCTGGCCCCCCCAGAATTGTCTAGCTCAGCTTTCCTCTCCATCTGGTCTGTTTGCAGAGATCTCGGCTCACCAAATTCCACAATCTGAAGGCCATCGTGTGCAAGGCTTGCATGAAGGAGAACCGGCGGATCGTGGGCAGAGCCCACTGGGACTCCCACTACACAGGTGGGCAGGGTGCCCTGATGTGCCTCCCTGGGGACATCATGCATGTTCTAGCCCAGGGGAGGCCCTAATGCTTCCCGCGGCCTTCGAACTCCAAGACGAGACTGATACGGTCAGAAGGAAAACATGAAATTAAAATGTCAGGGCTCTCTCTAGTGGTTTAAATCCCAGTCCCTTTAGGGAAAGGATTTTCGGAAAGGATTTGTTAACTATTTAAAAATTCCAGACACATGAGCTTCTTTCCGGGATCCCTGAAGTTTAGGCTGCTTGGGTAGTGTTTGTTTACTTGACAAACATGGAGGGTTTTGTTTTTCTTATCATAAATGTATATTAAAAACATTTTTAGGGTAAAGAAAGTTATTGAGAAGGAAATATGAACAACTAATTCTGTCCCCAAGAGCGCACAGTTCCTGACAGATGATACCACACTCCGGCAGTGTTTTCTGCGCTTTCTTCTCACCACGGAGCGCCCCATGGTGCTGTGAGTCCTGCTTTTCCATGAATGTGCCCTGACTCTGATGGGAGCCATGTCCATAAAACTCCTGCCCTGCCGGCTACAGACTCATTTAGAATAACTAGATTGAATTCTCTCCAAGCTCCCCTATTTGAGTACTGAGGTTACTTCCATTTGTTTCTCATTACTCAATGATTTATGTGTGTTGTCCTGGTTTACAGAATTATAGATCAAAATGTAATGGAATTGAATATTTGGCTAGAGAGCACATGCGCTTGCCAGAGAGACTAAGGGTGAGGGTGAGGAAGGGAGCACCCCCAATGGGGCACAACCTCGTTTTCTCCGCCATCACCCGTCCCACCAGGATGTGGGGCACACATGCTCACCACGCTTCTAAGCTTCTGGGACAGGAATTTGAACTACATGGCTAGCCATGTGTGAGCTGACTCCGTTAGCCCTTAGGCCAGGGGCTGGCCTTGTACTCAGATTCTAGATAAGTTTTCTGAAACCCTCTTTACCAGCAGTGACCAAGAGTTTCTGTTTTGTAACAACTTCGACGGCATTTTAAAATTTATGTGGACTTTGTTTGTTTTAAAACAGATTTTTAGGGAACCAGCAGTTAGTGTAATGGCTATGTCGCTGGACTCCCACGTAGTCGACCGCGGTTCGCATCCTGGACCCAGTGGCTTAAAACTCACGCCAGGCGTGTGTGCGTGCGTGCCCAAGATCCCAAGAGGAGAATGGAGAAGGGATTGCGGCGTGACCATCCCCCTTGGGGGGTGATTTCTCGCTTTCTGTCTCTATGTCTCTCTCTGTCTGTCTGGCGAGCGCATGCACCCTACCCGTCCCACCAGGATGTGGGGCACACATGCTCACCACGCTTCTAAGCTTCTGGGACAGGAATTTGAACTACATGGCTAGCCATGTGTGAGCTGACTCCGTTAGCCCTTAGGCCAGGGGCTGGCCTTGTACTCAGATTCTAGATAAGTTTTCTGAAACCCTCTTTACCAGCAGTGACCAAGAGTTTCTGTTTTGTAACAACTTCGACGGCATTTTAAAATTTATGTGGACTTTGTTTGTTTTAAAACAGATTTTTAGGGAACCAGCAGTTAGTGTAATGGCTATGTCGCTGGACTCCCACGTAGTCGACCGCGGTTCGCATCCTGGACCCAGTGGCTTAAAACTCACGCCAGGCGTGTGTGCGTGCGTGCCCAAGATCCCAAGAGGAGAATGGAGAAGGGATTGCGGCGTGACCATCCCCCTTGGGGGGTGATTTCTCGCTTTCTGTCTCTATGTCTCTCTCTGTCTGTCTGGCGAGCGCATGCACCCTATAGCAAAAACCTCTCCGAAAAAAAAACAAACAGATTTTTACTGTAGACCACCTGTGCTCAGGGATAGACAGCATGATATCACCCACCCCAGGGACATGACCACACCACAATCTCTTCTCCATTCTCCCCCTAGGAATCTGTCCACACACAGTCACACACCTATGAGTTTCAAGCCTCCAGGTCTGAGACTCGAACTGTGGCCAGCCAAGTGGGAGTCGAGCACTCTAATCACAATGCCACCCACTAGCCCCAATTTTTTTTAATGAATTTGTTATATGAGAAGATATACCTCATAGATGGGATGCTTTATCAGTGAGACTATACCGCTTACTAGCTTACTTGTTAGTGAGACCTTTTCATTTTTTTGGTGTCCTTTTTTGGTTAGTGTCTGAACTATGCCTGTAGCCATAGCAACCCAGGGTTTCTCCTGACAGTAAAAGTGTGCACCTTCCAGCTGTCTCCAGGGTCCTACCAGAGGCATCTCTGCCCCTTCCTTCCCAGAGAAGCCTCTGGACACAAAGCAGAACAGGCCCCTGGGAGTCACACGGGCATCAGATTGGCGGAGGACGGTCTGTGGGGGCAATTTCCAGACAGTGGAGGGAAGACCTCTCCTCCCTTGTTCCCAATGCTTTTCTCCATCTTTTACCTTTCTTCTACCAACCGTGCAGACAGAATTCAAGACCCCAGAGCAAAAGTCAGTTCATTGTGAAGTGAGTTTGCAGCATTTTCCCCACCCTGCCGGTTCCCTGAGCTGGTTGACAGTGGCACTAGCAGCTCGGGGGCCATGCTAGAGGACCCCTCCCTGCCCGTAGCCATGGAAGGCTCTGGCAAGTCCTGGGTGTGAGCTCTTTGAAGACAGTCCAGAGGCTGCACACCATGGCCCCCCCACGACAGGCACCAGAGGGAAGGCTTGTGTGGCGGCTCTGACCTGAGTGTAGGGGGCTGGCACCCGGGTCAGTGCAGGGCACAGTGCTCTGCTGTTCAGAAGCTGGTCTGGCCACGTTTGTAGGAAATCTACACAGGAGGGCAGATCTGGCCCTGTCGTAGACGCTTCCTGGTTAATGGGGAAACTACCTTTTAGCAGAGAGGACAGATGGGTCAGCTCACTTACAGAATGTGGAAATGGTTCCTTTCTGGTCCTTAGAATCATTGTTTTCTTCTCCAGTGTATCTGAAGGTTGCATGGTCCAGTTCTCTTTCCTTGCTGAAGGAAAGCCTTGGGCTCCACACAGCTCCAGAACCCATAGGCTGGCTCCTGGCACCGAGCTCACACTGGAGCCCCTGCTGCTGGGTTCCCACTGTGCTCTGCCCTCAAGCCGTTCGTGCAGTCTCTGAGCTGGGGAGGGCTTGGAGGCCCCAGAGCCAAGGTGCCTGGGAAGCAGCCTACCCTGTTTCTGGCACCTGGAGCTGAGTTGCCAGCCAAGGACTCCCATGTGCATAGTGCCTGGGGCAGACCAGAGGCCACTCATGTGCTCATAGGGGCCACCCATTTGCTCACAGGAGCCACCCAAGAGGCTGGGAGACAGGGACAAGCTGTTAGGGCCAGGTCGAGCGAGTCTGCACGGGCTCCTGCCAGACTGCGCACAGATGAGAGCAGCTTTGTGAAAGCATCGCAGATGAAGAGAAAGCTGAAACCGTGGCAGGGAGGCCTGGTAGGTGATGCCAGGCTAAGCTGTCATGATAGCAGAGAAACCGGCAAAGGCCAGCAAGAGCTCAGCCATGACAGGCTGTCCAGCGCCTAACCAAGGAGTCTTAGCATTTTATCCACCATAGACTGAGGGGCTTTTGAGTCCTTCGAAGGGACGTGATCAGAAATGCACTTTCAGACAGTGACTACACAGCATAGGAAAACTGGAGAGGGGACTGCTGCAGACACCCTAGGCAAGGGTCAGAGCATGGAGGTCCTGCACATGCTGAGCCTGGACTCTGGCACATCTGGAGGCCAGCCAAGGTCAGTGCAGGTCACAGCAGCCGTGCTTCACGGCCTTCTCCAGCAGTCACCATGCACCTAGAGGCCCACATGTCTATCCACTGGGGAACACGGTTGCCCACACATGACTGTGGCTGCTCTCCCAGAATCTATAGAGCAGGGAGCACCGAGAGATACCAGGACCTTGAAAACCCACACACACCTGTGCCCAGTCAGGCGTCTTATAGAGACAGGCAGATGACAGGGCATCAGGTCAGGGTCTAGGGAATGTTAAAGCACGAGAAGAGTGTGCCCTGGGTTGTGCAGGGAGTGGGAGCGGAGGTGCCAGACCGTGCCCCGGTGGGAGTGCTGGCAGCCAGCTGCATGGCTGGCGTGAGTGGCCGTGACCGCACTGCGCTGTCCCTGGGAAGTAGGCAGTGGTTGCCGGGGGGGGGGGGGGGGGGGGGCGCCAC